CTTGCAGCTTGTCCAGGTCTTCTTGAAGCCTCAAGCTGTCCTCCTCTGTCTTAATCCTTCTCATAATTTTGGCGTCGTCAGCAAACATTGAGAGGAATTAGTCTATACCCTCCCCTCTGGGAGATCATTTACGTATATCAGAAACAGGATAGTTCCAAGCACAGAGCCCTGTGGGACTCCACTGGTGACTTCACGCCATTCTGAGGTCTCACCCCTCACTATAACTCTCTGCTTCCTATTGCTTAGGTACTCCCTTATCCACTGGAGCGCCCTACCAGTTACTCCTGCCTGTTTCTCCAGCTTATGCATCAACCTTTTATGGGGTACTGTGTCAAAGGCTTTCCGACAGTCCAATAAAATTCAGTCCGCCCATCCTTCTCTTTCTTGCTTAATCTTTGTCACCTGATCACAGAATTCTATCAAGCCTGTAAGGCAAGATTTACCCTCCCTGAAAACATGTTGATGGGTTGTCACGAAGTCTCTTCTCTCCAGATGTTTTTCTCACAATCTTCTCCATCACCTTGCATGGTATACAAGTTAAGGACACTGGCCTGTAGTTCAGTGCCTCTTGTCTGTCACCATTTTTAAATATTGGTACTACATTAGCAGTCTTCCATACTTCTGGTAGGTCTCCCGTTTCCAGTGACCTACTATACACTATGGAGAGTGGCAAGCAAAGTGCTCCTGCACACTCTTTCAATACCCATGGTGAGATTCCATCCGGCCCAACAGCTTTTCTCACCTCCAGCTCCAAAAGGTGCTTCTTGACCTCATCTCTTGTAATTTCGAACCTTTCCAAGGTCACCTGGTTTGGTGCCACCTCTCCTAGCGCCGTGACTTCTCCCTGTTCTATTGTAAAGGCCTCCTGTGTGTGTGTATGTGTGTGTGTGTTTACTAGTTGTGTTTTTGCGGGGGTTGAGCTTTGCTCTTTCGGCCCGCCTCTCAACTGTCAATCAACTGTTTACTAACTTTTTTTTTTTCCCCACACCACACACACACACACACCAGGAAGCAGCCCGTGACAGCTGACTAACTCCCAGGTACCTATTTACTGCTAGGTAACAGGGGCACTTAGGGTGAAAGAAACTTTGCCCATTTGTTTCTGCCTCGTGTGGGAATCGAACCCGCGCCACAGAATTACGAGTCCTGCGCGCTATCCACCAGGCTACGAGGCCCCTGTGTGTGCGTGTACTTGTGTGTGTGTGCGTGTACTTGTGTGTACGTGTGCGTGCGTCTGTCACGAGAGCCAATTGAATGTTAACCTCTACCTGGAATGAGCCACTTTGAGATATTAAATATATATGTGCTCATGTGTGTGCGTGCGTGCGTGCGTGCGTGTACGTGTGCGTGCGTGTGCATGTGTGCGTGTGCGAGTATCTGTGTGCGTGCGTGTAATTACCTAAGTGTAGTTACAGGATGAGAGCTACGCTCGTGGTGTCCCGTCTTCCCAGCACTCTTTGTCATATAACGCTTTGAAACTACTGACGGTCTTGGCCTCCACCACCTTCTCACCTTACTTGTCCCAACCGTCTACCACTCTGTTTGCGAAAGTGAATTTTCTTATATTTCTTCGGCATCTGTGTTTCTTCGGAATCTGTGTTTCTTCGGCATCTGTGTTTCTTCGGAATCTGTGTTTCTTCGGCATCTGTGTTTCTTCGGCATCTGTGTTTCTTCGGCATCTGTGTTTCTTCGGCATCTGTGTTTCTTCGGCATCTGTGTTTCTTCGGAATCTGTGTTTCTTCGGCATCTGTGTTTCTTCGGAATCTGTGTTTCTTCGGCATCTGTGTTTCTTCGGAATCTGTGTTTCTTCAGCATCTGTGTTTCTTCGGCATCTGTGTTTCTTCGGAATCTGTGTTTCTTCGGGATCTGTGTTTCTTCGGCATCTGTGTTTCTTCGCATCGTTTTCTTCGGCATCTGTGTTCTTCGGCATCTGTGTTTCTTCGGCATCTGGTTTCTTCGGGAATCTGTGTTTCTTCGGGATCTGTGTTTCTTCGGCATCTGTGTTTCTTCGGCATCTGTGTTTCTTCGGCATCTGTGTTTCTTCAGCATCTGTGTTTCTTCGGCATCTGTGTTTCTTCGGCATCTGTGTTTCTTCAGCATCTGTGTTTCTTCGGGATCTGTGTTTCTTCGGCATCTGTGTTTCTTCGGCATCTGTGTTTCTTCGGAATCTGTGTTTCTTCGGGATCTGTGTTTCTTCGGCATCTGTGTTTCTTCGGCATCTGTGTTTCTTCGGCATCTGTGTTTCTTCGGCATCTGTGTTTCTTCGGCATCTGTGTTTCTTCGGCATCTGTGTTTCTTCGGCATCTGTGTTTCTTCGGCATCTGTGTTTCTTCGGAATCTGTGTTTCTTCGGAATCTGTGTTTCTTCGGCATCTGTGTTTCTTCGGCATCTGTGTTTCTTCGGCATCTGTGTTTCTTCGGCATCTGTGTTTCTTCAGCATCTGTGAACCGAGTGAGCTCACAGTCGCTGTCCTTGTTACCTGACTACCACTTACGATTGTATTATTGAATGGCAAGCATTAGTGTCTATGATATGATATATAAACCTTGCACACTGTTGGAGACTTATCAGAGAGCACTTACCAGCCAGCCCCCTGCAAGCTGGTCCTGGAGGCGGCGAAGAGTCGGAAGTGCAAGTGTGTGTGTGTGTGTGTGTGTGTGTGTGTGTGTGTGTGTGTGTGTGTGTGTGTGTGTGTGTGTGTGTGTGTGTGTGTTGTGTGTTTGTGTGTGTGGTGTGTGTGTGTGTGTGTGTGTGTGTGTGTGTGTGTGTGTGTGTGTGTGTGTGTGTGTGTGTGTGTGTGTGTGTGCCAAGCGGTCGTTGGAGCTCGTAACAGTCTGGTCTGACTGATAAGACAGGTGCCTCTCGCACACCGCAAGCAATTGTCACCTGATTAGCTGTCGCCTGAGGCCGCCATCAGTCGCCTGAGGCCGCCATCAGTCGCCTGAGGCCGCCATCAGTCGCCTGAGGCCGCCATCAGTCGCGTGAGGCCGCCATCAGTCGCCTGAGGCCGCCATCAGTCGCGTGAGGCCGCCATCAGTCGCCTGAGGCCGCCATCAGTCGCGTGAGGCCGCCATCAGTCGCGTGAGGCCGCCATCAGTCGCCTGAGGCCGCCATCAGTCGCGTGAGGCCGCCATCAGTCGCCTGAGGCCGCCATCAGTCGCGTGAGGCCGCCATCAGTCGCCTGAGGCCGCCATCAGTCGCCTGAGGCCGCCATCAGTCGCCTGAGGCCGCCATCAGTCGCCTGAGGCCGCCATCAGTCGCCTGAGGCCGCCATCAGTCGCCTGAGGCCGCCATCAGTCGCGTGAGGCCGCCATCAGTCGCCTGAGGCCGCCATCAGTCGCCTGAGGCCGCCATCAGTCGCCTGAGGCCGCCATCAGTCGCCTGAGGCCGCCATCAGTCGCGTGAGGCCGCCATCAGTCGCGTGAGGCCGCCATCAGTCGCGTGAGGCCGCCATCAGTCGTCGTGATTGTGAATGGACGAGTTAAAACGTGAGTAAAGGGTCCTATTTTACACTGTGTTGAAACTGGTACTATTTAGGTTTTGGTGATGTGTAGTAGTCACCCAATCTCGGATTAGAAAATATCTGGCACTGACCTGACTCTGTGTCTGTATTTATTGGGATTGTGGATGGATTAGAGTGCCATCTCGGTGTTGAGGGACAGTGTTGACACTTCCAGGCATGTCAAGGCACTTGTGGGTGACTGCTGAGTGCGTGTATGGTGGAGTATCACATGTCACTTTAGGATTTAAAGATGGGTGGTTAGGGGTAAGGCACATGAAGGAGGTTAAGGGGGGGGGTAAGGTAGGTAGCTGTGACTGATAGTGAAGGTCTCATTCATGTGTGTGTGCTTTTTTAACAAATTGTCTGTTTTTATGTAAGAAAAACGTATAACTTTCTCACCCAATTCTGTTTCTGGTTTAGGTCTCGATTAGTCGATGTCGTCGATTAGTTTTCACGTCAGACACGACTGAGTTCACGGTAGGACGTCTCAGCAGCATATGGAGTGTGTCAATGACCCATAATTGTTTTTGTAAAGAGGGGAGGAGGGCCAATCCCTACCTTGTTTCCAGAGCGGAACATACCCAGCACCATCACACGACCACATGCCCACATGGTCACATGGATGTGTGTGAGTGTGGGAGCAAGCATTTGTGCGGCTCAGCTCTTTGAAGCCTGAGGCGTTACTGCGTTGAATGACAGCAATACGCTGAAGCTTAGCTCACACCACCAAATAGCAGTTGGAGCAGCAGCAGCAGTCATGAGGTTTTCACCATATGCTTGCAGAGCACTTAGGATCGGTGTGTGGTGTTTGACGGCCCACGCAGGAGTGGACTGTGTTCGCGTTTAAAGTGTTGTCATGTGTCGTACCCTCCCCTTCCCTGCAGTCCTCTCTCATGCAGGTGCCAGTCATCAGTTACTCGACAGTTCCCCACTTCACATTTCCCCAGTCCGCCATAAACGAGGTAAACACATTTCATATGTCTCTGTATTCATATCAAATAATGTCTATAGCCTCAGGTAGACACCTTTTTTAGTTTCGCTTGGACTCTGAGTAACGAACATCCTCATAGCCGTGAGTGTGTCATTGTTCTTTCCCAAAGGTGAGCCATGACCTCAACATCCAAATTCCAAGTATTGATGTGTTAGCAAAGTAAACATAACATCTCCTCCTCCCAACCAGTTGGCACCCTCATATACCCCCCCCCCTTCCAGCCTCACCTCAAAGGAGGAGTGCATAGTGGACCACATAGCAGTGCATACCACATACCACATACGTATGAGGTCCTCCATGTCGTGCGTCCCTGGGCGAGGAGCCAGCCTTCAGGGGCGGCTCACCTCTGTGAAGTTTGACACATAACTGAGCTAAATGAGGCAATACCGCTCACCATACCCTCTCCCGCCTGCTCCCTCCCCTTACACTTAGCACTCAAGTCTGTTTACTTTCCCCTCCGAAAGTTAGTGAGCGTTTTTTTACTGAATGTGGGGAAACATTTTATAGTTAGTTAGTTTTAATGTTTTGAAATCCTGCAAGAGACAAATAGAGAGAAAGATCTGGGATTGATATCACACCGTTCCTGCCCCTAGAGGTCCTCATCAAAAGGATATCGGTAGCACAGGAGCACATGCCACATGGTGGGTTACCTCATTGAAGGGCGAGGGCCAACTGCAGTGAATGTCAACATCTGCCTCTACCATACTCAGTCCTGCTCGTCCATCCCCCTCCCCCCACAACCACTATCCCCCTCCCCCCACAACCACTATCCCCCTCCCCCCACAACCACTATCCCCCTCCCCCCACAACCACTTGTCACCCTCAGAGGTGTATAGGGGGGACATACCAGCACCGCATGTCTCTGTATTCATATCAAATAATGACTATAGCCTGTGGAATAGATCTTTTAATTTCGCTTTTGGCTCTGAGTAACGAGCCTCATCGTATGCCAGTCTTCAATTTTCTTTGGTTAAATCATATCTCTACTGGAGTCTAAATAGCATTTAGCATCAGTTTTACTGAATGAGGGAAACACAACTTCTGGGGTCAGCAGCACTAGGATACTTGTGGGTAAGGGTTTTCCACTACTGAATGAATATATGTAATTTTAGATCAAATCCACGAGCTTCGCCATTACACACATCTGAGGTGGAGGTTTGAGGTGTACGGAGATGAGGCGAGCTGTCAAGCTAACTAGGTAGCCTAGTTTTCAGGTTCTAAATACATTCCAACCCGAGGCAGACCACGCCAGCAAACACCGAGGTCAGACCTCAAACGCGCCATTCATTATTTTAATTTTTCTTTTACCTGGATTCCGAGGTTTAAAGACCCCCGTTCTCTCTCCCCCATAGGTGAGCCATGTTCCCCACATACAAATTCCAAGCATTCCGCTGATAGTAAAGTAAACATATACAAAACATATGACGCTACCATTTCATTCTCTGTTTTACATGATGAGAGCAGCTATGAAAGTGGGACCACCCACCTAACTCATAACAGGAGTTGTCTCTCTCTCACAGCGGGATACATCAGAGATACACTTAAAGGGACGTCATTTGTTCATGTCTTAAACACAGGACCCTGGGTGACTGTTTCTAAGGAGCCGTGAGCGAGCGGTGTGGTATTTTGTAAACACACAGCTGCATAGGATACACTTAACAGTCACTGGTTACCAACCAACCTACATGGTTTTTCTCAGTATTCACATCATTATATAATTAGTTAGGGGACAGGCAATCATATTTTGCTTTCTCCGGATACGTCTGTTCACATAACGTTTTCCTTTCAATTATTGCTTCTAGTTACTTAGCGTTAACAATATTTCTAATTCATTTAACCTTTAAAGAGTAACGACCGTCATAAGCTAATCTTCGGTGGGACGCAGTTTTCTCATTTTAAAGTTTTTTTTTTTTTTTTTTTTTACATGCAAGCATGCAAGTATAAGGCAATAAATACAATAAAAAGAACAGAAGAAACAAAATAAGCAAAACAAAAAACCACCGGCCAGAAGGACCGACAGCACAGTACAAGAACAGCAAACATCAACAGAACACAAGAGAAAATAGTGTAAACAGGCTAGCAATACACAAAACACAATAACATAAAACAAAACAAACAAACATCATAACACACAGGGAAAGCAAGAGGAGAACAAATAACAAAAAAGACAAACAAAAATACAAAATTATAAAATATACAACAAGCCAAGCAACAGAAACATAAGCCACACATGGCACAATAACAAGACAAACAAAAAACAATAATATGCACAACTAACCACTTGCAGTGCAAGAAGTAAAAGGAGAGGCACAAGCACAGAACACACTAGGGCAAACATCATAGCCAGAGGGGCACATATTACAACAGAATCAAAGGAACAGAGAAGCAGTAAATGGTATAGCTACACGCAAAGTATGTTAAAACATGTAAGGAACACAATAAACAGGGACATTGAAAAAACTAAAAATAACACCGGCCTTAAGGGCACACAAGAAATATAACGCATAGCAGAACATACCACAGGTCCCATGCATTCACTAGACATACAGCAATCACACAAACTGCTCAGATTGCTCATACTTTTCCGGCCACTCCGCCGCCGGGAAACGAATACAATACGCCTCCCAAAGCAACATGATGTTGTCCAGAACAGGGTGAGCATGGGCCGTACGAGGATCAGGCATCAAGTCCGGCACACCCACAACAAAACACCGAGCCTGCGGAACCCAGACGATCGAGGGGCACCACGGAACAGGCTGCACGCGGTCAAGAAAGTAAAACGGCAAAGGGGTTTTCTTCCTATCATACGCTACGCCGGAAGCCAAGACGATTGGTAGGGGCTTTCCCCCACGGGGCCGGGCAACGGGCAGCGCACTCGCAGCCTCCTTGGCAGGTCCACAGGGCTCTGCGGCAACCATCGGACGTGTCACCTGCAGGGGCCCCCCACGCTGAACATCCTTCTTCAGCAACAACACAAAGTCGTGTCCCGCACCAGCACCCACACCACCTACGTTCGTAGGAGCGATCACCCCCCACTGCGGAGAACCTTCTGCAGAAGAAAGAACATGAGGTGAATCATATGCACAATCGTCGTCATCAGCAGGCACATGGACGTCAGCAACCACCATCGACATAGATCGCGAAACACCCGGAACCACCACATCATCGCCTGAAGACCCACCGGCGTCGAAAATCCTCCACATCAGCCCAAGCAGTAGAAGATCGCCGGGACCGTTTGGGCTCCAGCCGCACATCCTCAGAGCCAGAGGCTGACCTAGAACCACAGGCTTCACAAGCCGTGCGAACCGATGCCCGTCGCATGACAGCAGCAGCCTCAACCGCAGGGGGAACCGGGCCGCACACAACAGGACGCTCCGCAGCCCTCCCCCCCCCCCCCAGCACCCAGCTCAGCCGAAACACCCAGCGAAGGCGCAGGGCCAGATGCAGCAGCAGGAGACGAGGAAGACGAAGACGTCGACGACACGCAGAGACCATCTGGAAGACCCCCGGGAGCAGCTGTGACAGCGACAGGGGCAGGAAGATCAGCCAATGGCACCGGAAGACCCGGAGGAGGAGCCACACCATCAGGAGGACTGCTGGGGAACGCAGGGGGAGCCGCAGCAGCCAACTGGACGTCAACATCCTCGCTCATGGAATCTATCCCAACAGGGAGCGGCGGGAAATCATCCTCCTGGAACAGGTTCACAGGAGCGACAGCAGCCTCCGAGCACCCGGCAGCCTGATGCCCCAACAGGCCACACTGAAAGCAGGTACGGGGTTGCCGGGCATAGTAAACCCGAACGTAGTACCCCAGAAGCCGGACCGAAGAAGGGATGTCAGACCTCAGGCGCATCCCAAGGGTATGAATGTTCGTCCCTTATACCTCCCTGAGGACAGCGTGTGCACCCGCACACTGACGACCGTGTCAAACTGCTGGAAGTAACGCCGGAGTAGATCTTCGGGATACTCCAAGGGCGCCCCGTGCACACTCATGTACATCAGGGCACCACTACAGTCTATAATGGTCACAGAGCCGGCACCATCCGGCAGCGACAAGGAACGCCCCTCGTAACAGCGGAGGAAAGCACGATACACCTCCTCCCCCGCCAACTTGATAATAACCCGGTGAGCAGTTACCAGCTCAATTCCGTAGACGTCGTCGACCGGGACACGGAGCATGTCACACATGACAAGCTCAACTAAAGGATAGCCAACACAGCCCGTAAACTCCAGTCCCACGGAGTTTACTCTCATCACAGGAGGGAGAGGGACTCCCATCGCAAGCATGCGACGTCACCACCAGCCAAGCAGCAACTGCAGGGAGGGTGGGGACGCCCACACCCCCTGGCGACGCAAAACGGCAAACACCCCAAACTACCAGAGGCCGGACGACACGTCTGTACCTCACGGCACCTCCAGGTGCCCTCCTATTTTTAAAGTTTTGCATTGCAGTTGACTGAAGACTGTATCAGGTTACCGGGATTCAAATCATTGTTACTGTGTGTTTTACATCTTGTAACGTAACGGGACCAACATGCAAACATCATTCTATTACTGTGTGACTGTTTTTTTAGTTCTTGTAACATAGTCAATGTAACATAACGCGAAAATAAACTTTCTGCTGTCCAAAGAATAGCATTTGAAATGTATGCGTGTCTAGACAATCCTCCATAGCCTCTACATTCAATACCAATAGTAATTATTACTGTGTAGCTGCTTTTTCATGTTCTTCTCTGGAAACATGGTAGGGGTTGGCCCTCCTCACCTCTTTACAAAAACAATTACGGGTCATTGACACATTCCATTTGCTGCTGAGACCCCCTACCGCAAACACTGTCCTGTCTGACGTGAAAACTAATCGACGACATCGACTAATTGAGACCTACGCCAGAAACAGAATTGGGTGAGAAAGTTATACATTTTTCTTACATAAAAACAGACATTTTGTTTAAAAAAATAATCACACGAGAATGAGACCCTTGCTATCATTCAAAGCTACCACTTCGTCATCCCCCCTTCCCCCCTTAACCTCTTTCATGTGCCCTACCCCTAACCACTCATCTTTAAAGCTCGATCTCGTACCTCCTGGTCCATCCATGGGAGTGGGTCTCCCTCTATGCCCTCAACATAGCCTTTGTACATACTGTTATTATAATTATTAACTACTTACACTGATTAACTCTATGCCATCTGCACATATATTTTCATATTACACACCTGCACATATGCTAAACACATCTACTTACACTTACCCCCGCATTATCCTCTTTACCCTCTTCCCCGCACCCCCCTCCCACACACGGAGTCAGTCGAACACGATTCCACGGATGACGCGTGCCACACGGCCCCCGGGGAACCCCCAGAACCCTTTATGACTAGGCACCTGCACATCACCTGAGCAGGGGTACCCTAACGGGATCACCTGCTCATGTGTTGCGCACGGTCGTAGTCATAATTTACACTACTCGGGACCATACACCCGGTGTATCCACCCGAGGCCATACACCTGGTGTGTCCACCCGGGACCAAACACCCAGTGTGTCCACCCGGGGACATGTAAAGGACATCTGGCATGCCCACCTGCCCCTCCCTCAACATACCCCAACCCGTTCTCGCACTTTCTTACAGTCAATATTGACTTATTAAATACGTGCATATGTGACATACTAAACATACTAATTTACCTTGAAAAGCTTCATAGAAAACATCGACCTTACCTAACCTTCTTAGTATGTTAAGATAAGCGTCTTATTGCTTCGTAATTACAATTATTACTTACCTATACCTAAAATAGGTTAAGTAATAATTGTAATTACGAAGCAATAAGATGCTTATCTTCACATACTAAGAAGGTTAGGTAAGGTCAGTGTTTTCTATGAAGCTTTTCAAGGTAAACTAGTATGTTTAGTATGTCACATATGCACATATTTAATAAGTCAATGTTGACTATACAAAAGTGCGAGAACGGGTTGCATACCCACCTGCCCCACCCTCAACATGCCCACCTGCCCCCCCCTCAACATACCCACCTTCCCCACCCTCAACATACCCACCTGCCCCACCCTCAACATACCCACCTGCCCCACCCTCAACATACCCACCTGCCCCTCCCTCAACATATCCACCTGCCCCTCCCTCAACATACCCACCTGTCCCACCCTCAACATACCCACCTGCCCCTCCCTCAACATACCCACCTGCCCCACCCTCAACATACCCACCTGCCCCTCCCTCAACATATCCACCTGCCCCTCCCTCAACATACCCACCTGCCCCACCCTCAACATACCCACCTGCCCCACCCTCAACATACCCACCTGCCCCTCCCTCAACATATCCACCTGCCCCTCCCTCAACATACCCACCTGCCCCACCCTCAACATACCCACCTGCCCCTTCCTCAACATACCCACCTGCCCCACCCTCAACATACCCACCTGCCCCTCCCTCAACATACCCACCTGCCCCTCCCTCAACATATCCACCTGCCCCTCCCTCAACATACCCACCTGCCCCACCCTCAACATACCCACCTGCCCCTCCCTCAACATACCCACCTGCCCCACCCTGTGAGGCGAGATGAGAAATAAACGACTCAGAAGTAAAAGAGAACTAGAACCATAAAAACAGGAATGAAAAATAAATAATGAAAAACTCATGAGAGACAAGTGGATAAAGGGGAGCAAGCAATCTTCCCGGATAATGACTCTCACGGAGCTCTGAAGATGAATGGAAGGAACAATGTCACAAGGAACCATTACACGTCATTGTTATCAGTCATTATCAGCGGTGTCTCACTTTCCAGCGGGGATCGAACGGGTTGCGGCTTTGTGAGCGGCGGGAGTGCTGGGGCCCCAAGCTGTGTGCTGGGGCCCCAAGCTGTGTGCTGGGGCCCCCTAGCTGAGTGCTGGGGTCCCAAGCTGAGTGCTGGGGTCCCAGGCTGAGTGCTGGGGTCCCAAGCTGAGTGTTGGGGCCCCAAGCTGTGTGCTGGGGTACCAAGCTGTGTGCTGGGGTCCCAAGCTGTGTGCTGGGGTCCCAGGCTGAGTGCTGGGGTCCCAAGCTGAGTGTTGGGGCCCCAAGCTGAGTGCTGGGGCCCCAAGCTGTGTGCTGGGGTCCCAAGCTGTGTGCTGGGGTCCCAAGCTGTGTGCTGGGGGTCCCAAGCTGAGTGCTGGGGCCCCAAGCTGTGTGCTGGGGCCCCAAGCTGAGTGCTGGGGCCCCAAGCTGAGTGCTGGGGCCCCAAGCTGAGTGCTGGGGTCCCAAGCTGTGTGCTGGGGCCCCGAGCTCAGTGTTGGGGTCCCAGGCTGAGTGTTGGGTCCCAGGCTGAGTGTTGGGGTCCCAGGCTGAGTGTTGGGGTCCCAGGATGAGTGCTGGGGCCCCAAGCTGTGTGCTGGGGTCCCAAGCTGAGTGTTGGGGTCCCAAGCTGAGTGCTGGGGTCCCAAGGTGAGTGCTGGGGCCCCAAGCTGAGTGCTGGGGTCCCAAGCTGAGTGCTGGGGTCCCAAGCTGAGTGTTGGGGTCCCAAGCTGAGTGCTGGGGTCCCAAGCTGAGTGCTGGGGCCCCAAGCTGAGTGTTGTGGTCCCAAGCTGAGTGCTGGGGCCCCAAGCTGAGTGTTGTGGTCCCAAGCTGAGTGCTGGGGTCCCAAGGTGAGTGCTGGGGTCCCAAGCTGAGTGCTGGGACCCCAAGCTGAGTGCTGGGGTCCCAAGCTGAGTGCTGGGGCCCCAAGCTGAGTGCTGGGACCTCAAGCTGAGTGCTGGGACCTCAAGCTGAGTGTTGGGGCCCCAAGCTGAGTGCTGGGGTCCCAAGCTGAGTGCTGGGGCCCCAAGCTGAGTGTTGGGGCCCCAAGCTGAGTGCTGGGGTCCCAAGCTGAGTGTTGCGGCCCCAAGCTGAGTGCTGGGGCCTCAAGCTGAGTGTTGGGGCCCCAAGCTGAGTGCTGGGGTCCCAAGCTGAGTGCTGGGGCCCCAAGCTGAGTGTTGGGGCCCCAAGCTGAGTGCTGGGGTCCCAAGCTGAGTGCTGGGGTCCCAAGGTGAGTGCTGGGGTCCCAAGGTGAGTGCTGGGGCCCCAAGCTGGAACACTCTCCCATCAGAGAGAAGGTGGGGCTGGTAACATGTATAGCGTGCCGCCGCCGCTGCTGCTGTCGTCCTCGCTGGGTATCGAAAACCTGTTCACACACCCGTCAAGTGTGTTGGAGAGACGAATTTACGTCCTTTTCAATATTCCAATATACCTTTTTATCGTTGGTTGGGGTTCAGATGTCAGTGCGTGTGTGTGTAACAGACTGTGTATGTTCTCACCTAGTTGTGCTTGTGGCGGTTGAGCTCTGGTTCTTTGGTCCCGCCTCTCAACTGTCAATCAACTGGTGAACAGATTCCTGAGCCTACTGGGCTCTATCATATCTACATTTGAAACTGTGTATGGAGTCAGCCTCCACCACATCACTGCCTAATGCATTCCATTTATTAACTACTCTAATACTGAAAAAGTTCTTTCTAACGTCCCTGTGGCTCATTTGGGTACTCAGTTTCCACCTGTGTCCCCTTGTTCGCGCACTACCTGTGTTAAATACGTAGCTTCAACTACCTGTAAACCTGTTTTAAAGTTTTATCTTTATATTCCCTGTCAATTCCTCTGAGAATTTTGTAGGTTGTGATCATGTCT